TCTCTCTCTCTCTCTCTCTCTCCCCTACTGACCACAAGCAGCACAAGCTACAATGCAAATTTATAAATACATACCATTACATAAATTTAATATGTGGGACCAAAGATAATTATCTTTGTATACAAATGCCAGCATATTGCCTTCAGTTAGGGCTATAAGTGTGACTAAAGGAGTGTGGAAAACTGGGACACAGCTCAAAGCGCAGAGATCACCTAACATCAGTTAGAACAAATGCTATTTCTCTAAGATTTTCTAGGGCTACATCAGGTCATTTTAATTGATTGCTCATTATACCAGTGTTTTGTGCACACATTCAGTACTAGTTACTGATCTTATATTTATTCATTGCATTTTTGTCTTTTCTCCAACTGTAAATACTCCCTGAGGGCAGGAAATGTTTTAATCATTTTTATACATCCATAAAATCCAGGTGCTCATAAAATGTCTACTTAATAAAAATGGGTGATTGGGGTTGGAAAGTAGAACCTGTGTTTTAAAAAAACAAACAGTGGGAATTCCTTAACCTGAGGAGTGACCACAATAAGAGTATTTAATGAATGATAGTAAGGCAGATCAGATAGTGATAAAAAAAAAACCCCAACTATCTAGAATGTGCTAGTTCATGTGAGGCTACATAAGGCTCTGGTTTTTACTCTGAATCTCATGGAAAACAGCTGGAAGATTTTGTACAGAGGAATCAAATGGCTGTTATGTTGTGAATACTTTGTAGGAGGACAAAGGGAGAGAGAGAGGAGAGAGAGAGAGAGAGAGAGAGAGAGAGAGAGAGAGAGAGAGAGAGAGCTCTCACTTAGGAGGTTATAGCAATAATCCAGGCTAGAGATTATGTTGTCTGTGATAAGATTGTTACTCATGAAGGATGTAAGAGGTGGTCAAATTCTAGATTTAACAATATATATAAAGTATAGTCAATAGGTCTCCATATAAGTTGGTTTCTATATATATAAGGTGGGGGGAAGCAAAGATGAATGCAAAGTTTTTGTCTAAAAGAGTAAGAAGGATGGAGTTTAAGCCTTTAGCCTGCATCATATTGCTGAGGGAGGGAGTACAAAGAAGCAAAGAGTTATAATGTAGGAGATCAAGCTCTCTGATATTTAGAAGTGGCCAGAGATGTAGAAACAGAACCAAGGAAGAATGCTGTTGTTAAAATCATGTGAAGAAATTATTTTAAGAAGGAAGAAGGAAGGCTTCAGTGATTCATTTTTTTAAAAAGTGTCTCACAAACGATGATGATCAAGGATCAACAATTTAGCAAAATGGTAAACACTGGTAAACTTAAGAGATACATGTAGTAGAGAAATTAGTTTAAAAGCCTGTTGTTATGAGAATAAAAGAGAACAGAGGAGAGGACCTAGACATAGTGGGTATCAACTGTCTTCAAAGGTTATGCTTTAAAAGAAAGCAGAGAAATGGAGACGAAACTAGAGAGGGACATGAAATTACAAAATGACCTTTTTAATAGACTTTTTTAAAAAATAAATCCTCACCCGAGGATATGCTTTTATTGATTTTAGAGAAAAAGCGAGGGGGGGGGGGAGAAACATTGATGTAAGAGAAACATCACTTGGTTGCCTCCCACATGCACCCTGAACTGGGATTGAACAACAACCTAGGTATGTGCCCTGACAGGGACTTGAACCCTCGATTTTTTTGGCGTATGGAAAGTCCTCCAGCCAACCGAGGCACCCAGCCAGGACAGACCTCATTTTTTAAAACAGTTTTAGACTCAGAGCAAAATTAAGCAGAAGGTACAGAGATTTCTCATTTACTTCCAACCACCACATATACATATGCTCCCTCATTATCAACATTTCCCACCAGAGGGGTATATTGTCACAAATGATGGACCTACACTGACACATTATTATCACCTAATGTCCACAGTTTATATTAGGGTTCACTCTTGGTGTTCTGCATTCTATGAATTTGGACAAATGTATAACGATGTGTATCTATCATTATAGTATCATATAGAGTAGTTTCACCGCCTAAAGAACCCTCTGCACTCTGCCTATTTATCTCTCTCTCTCTCCCTTAACCTCTGGCAAGCAATGTTTTTTTGCTGTCTCCACTGTTTTGTCATTTCCAGAAGGTAAAATAGTTGAAATCATACACTATATTACCTTTTCAGAATGGCTTCTTTCACCTAGTAATATACTTTTTTTAAGTTTCTCCAAGTCTTTTCATGACTTGATACCTCATTTATTTTTGGCACTGAATAATATTACATTGTTTGATTGCAGCACAGTTTATTTAGCCATTTACCTACTGAAGGGCACCTTGATTGCTTCCAAGTTTTGGCTACTGTGAATAAAGATACTATAAACATCCATGTGCAGGTTTTTGTGTGGACATAAGTTTTCGATTCCTTTGGGTAAATAGCAAGGAGTATGATTGCTCGATCATATGTTAAGAGTATATTTAGTTTTGTAAGAAACCACCAAGCTGTCTTCCAAAGTGGCTGTACCATTTTGCATTCCCACCAGCAAACGAATGAGACTTCCTGTAGTTGCACATCCTCACCGGCTTTTGGTATTGTCAGTGCTTTGAATTTTGATCATTCTAATAGGTGTGTTGTGGGACCTAGTTGTTTTAATTTCCATTTCCCTGATAACATATGATATGGAGGATCTTTTCATATGTTTATTTGCCATTTGTATATCTTCTTTGGTGAAGTGACTGTCAAGACCTGTGGCCCATTTTTAAATGGGATAGTTTGTTTTCTTACTGTTGAGTTTTGAAAGTTCTTTGTATATTTTGGATAACCGTTTTTTATCAGATGTGTCCTTTGAAAATATTTTCTCCTACTCTGTGAGTTCTCATCTCATTCTGTTGAAACTGTTTTTCTCAGAAGAGAAGTTTTAAATTTTAATAAACTCCAGATTACCAATTCTTTCTTTCATGCACTGTACCTTTAATATTGCATCTAAAATGTCATCATCAAACCCAAGATCATCTGGATTTTTTCCTGTGCTATCCTTTAGGAGTTTGATAGTTTTGTGCTTTACACTTATGTCTGTGATCTATTTTGAGTTAATTTTTGCAAAGGGTGTATGTCCACTCCCACACTCCTCACAAAGCCTCCCTCACTTTAGGCAGAAATAGACACCTAATACTCATATGACACTATAAAGTAACAAGAAGTTACTGAGTTCAGTTTCTTTCAGCCCAAAAAGTATTTCCTGTAGATCATTTGACTCTTCTCAAGCCAACAGCCCAGTTTGCCTGAACGACACTTCAGTAGAGGAGTTATCCTACAGCAATCAGGCAGCTGAAAAGGGCTGACAATTGTAACTGGAAGTTACCAAAAATGGTATTAAAATTATATAGAGCTACAAATATCAACAGTCTTGTAAGTTTTTGAAATATCCTTTGAAACTATTTCATAACTGGAATGGCTAAATTAGACAATCATCATAGGAAAATTAAGTCACCAAAAATAATATGATAATAAACCGTTAGAACACACAGCGGCTCTATATAAATGATGTTAAGCTAATGGGAGAAGTGTAAAAGTCTCAACTAGATCACCATTCAGTCTGGAATAAATAAAACTTTGACAGAACAAATTAAGGAGTGAACGATTTAATACCATAATTAGTAGTGAGAGATGTAAAAATTAGTGATTATTGAAGAAACCATATGTTTAATGTATTAACTGTAGCTATTAAAACTATATTACATTATTTTGTCATATTATGTAATGAGTGATATTTTTTTCAGAGTATAAACTACTTCCTGGG